TAGCAATAAGAGCTCTCACTCCTCTTCTCCACTCCCAAAGTCTGTTCTGGGAGCCCCGCCAGCCAAGCAGCTTTCTCCTCCACCTGCCTCTCAAAGTTCACAGAGCTCCAAGTTCATCCCCAGCAAAACGAAGCCCAGTCATAGGCCAGGCCATGACTCCCGTGTCCTCCGTTCATAGGGCCACTTGCATTTTTAGAAATTCAGATTGGAAAGTGTTCTTTTCTTCATATCTTATTTTGCTTGATAATGTTATTCCCTCCATCAATGTCATCTTATACCCTCCCGCTGCCTGTGGCTGACCGAAATCTTTTGCCTATCAAGGTCTGATTCAAATGCCTCATTCTCTGGAAATCTTCCCATATGGCCCCCAAATAGAGGTGATTTTTCTCTTCACTAAATTTGCATCCTATTTCTTTTATTCTACTTGGCATTACAGGCAATTTTGTACTTGTTTTTTTCTTCCTCTCCTTCAGAACAATTTCTGTTTCTTGCTCCACATGTCCCCTGAAGAAACTGACCCAGGACTCAGGGTACATGGCAGGCCCTAATGCTAGTTAGGCTATAAGGAAACTGTTTATAATTTTTTTCCATATTGGTTAAAGCCTCTTTAAGGAAACTGCTAGATTTCATGTTTCTAAATGATAGATATTCAATATTTCAGTTTCAGAATTGACTAAAAGAAACCACTAGCCCCTGCCAAGGAACTCAGTAGCTACTGTGGGTGAGTGTAGTATAGCTTTTGGTTTAATAGTTGTAGAGAGTGTTCCCTCTCCAGGTAGAAGATATCATTGAAGTTTTTGCCTGGGTTGACTGTGGCTTTCTAAAAATTCAGCATGGATCTGACCTCTGAAAGATTATTATTTACAGAATCTAACTCTTGTGACTCGTTAAATATACCAAGGATGGCTAATTTAAAATATTGGCTTATGAATGTAACCTCCTGAGGTCTCCCATCTTTTGGTTGAATCTTGTCCTCAGCAGAAGCAGACTGATTTCCAGAAAATCAATTCAGCGGAAGCCAGTTTGTGAATGACCACTTCTTGGAATGGCAAGGTGACCTAGGGCTAACCACAGCAAACTAAACTGAAGGCTGTGGAATATACCAGATTTTGCTAGACCTATTGCTAGAGTATGTATTTTGCCATCATTGAACATTGATCTTTAGGTGATCAGACTTCTCAGTGTTTCCTAATATTGATCAAGGAAAGGGGATGGAGACCCAGTGATGAGGTTTGCTTCATGTATATGTGGCTAACTGAGGGCAGCCAAGACATACCTTAGCATCACTTTCTCAGAGTTCCTACCAAATAATACTTAAATTCTGAACATGAAACCAGAAATATCTTTAACTTCTTTCATTCTTATAAGCATTACCCTTGATTAAACAAGGTTAAAAAGTAAAATGAAGTTCTTTGGGGGTTTAAAAGCATTTTTTCCATTCCAAAAGTAATATATTTCATTACAGGAAAATTTTAAAATAGAATGAAAAATTAAAATATTTTGAAACCCATTTTTCTGCAGCCTAAGGACAATCACATAATATTTTTTGACATTTTTTTATTCCAATATTTTTTCCACAGATAGCATGTTTTAGAAAATTGTAATCATCCTATATGTATTCTATATTTTGCTAAACAGTTTTCTGTAATCTTTATTATGGATAATAACATCTGTAAATGATGGACATACTGTAAAATATTCCAACAATAGGAAATACTTATAATTTTACTTAATTATCTCCTTTACCTGAATTTAAGTTTGGTTTTCTTTTTTTTTTTTTTTGAGATAGAGTCTCGCTCTGTTGCCCAGGCTGGAGTGTCATGGTACGATCTTAGGTTACTGCAACCTCTGCCTCCCAGGTTCAAGCCACCCTCCTGCCTCAGCCTCTCAAGTAGCTGGGATTTGGAATAAACAGACATGATGCTTTCCTGACAGTCCTCACTTAGTCTATGGACTCTTATCACCCTGTCATCCCTGCCCAAAGGGGCATGCTATTAATTTTTCTTGGTTTAAGCTTGTCCATAGCAGAAGCAGGCTGATTCCCAGAAAATCAATTCTGCTGAAGCCAGTTTCTGAATGACCATTTCTTGGAATGGCAAGGTGACCTAAAGCCAACCACAGCAAACTAGACTGAAGACTGTGGAATATACCAGACTTTGGAGTCAGATACATAGAATGTCAAACCTGGGCTCTTCTCCCAATGTCCCTGGAATTGATCACTCTATGGCTTATAGGCAGAAAACCTGACCTCTCCAGCCTCAGTTCCTTCTTCTTGGAAATGGATGTCTAGACAGTGTTTTGGAGATAAAATGAGAGCATGCACATAAAGCCTCTGATGGGGACCATCATGGTAAGGCATGATGGAGGGTCATGAGATGCCTTCTTATGCTCTGGAAAATGGTGGAAGGAATCATGTGGTTGGCAAGAACATATGAAATTCTACATCTGAATCTTGTTTTCCTCTCTCTTTTAAAATCCAGCTCCTCACAAGTCTATTTTTTGAAAGAACCAGCCTCCTTTTCTTCTAAATATTCTAAATATATAAAACCCAACCAAAGTTTCAAAACACACTTTTGTGGTTGTTCTTTCACAGGTGTTAAAGACAATTGGATAAGATATCCTGCCAAGAGCATTTTAAAAATACCAGGGTAACTTCTATTTTTTTTTGTTATGGAAACTTCCTACACACAAAAGTAAAAGAAATGGTATAATGGACCCTCTGTATTCATTCCCAAGCTCTTATCATTTTACATATTTTGTCCGTGTTGTCTTATCTATCCCCCTGTATATATCCTTCATTTTTCTTTTTGTTGGATTATTTGAAAGAAGTCCCTGACAGTGTTTTATTTTATCCATTAAATGCTTTGGCATGTATTTCTAACAGTTAAGGAGATTTTTTTCTACATAACCACAATGCTATTATCACATGTAACAAAAGTATCAATAATCTCAGGAGCATTTTGAAAATAGCGTTCTGGAAAAAGCAAGCCAAAGGAGTGAGTAATATAGAATTTCAAGCTCTATGGTAAGAGGTTTGGGAAGATGCTTTTGGCAAAGGGGGCACTTTCATTTTTGCAAATGACATCACAGAGCCAGATGTCACTTTCTCCTACATATCCGAAATTGGATTTACTTTCTTACCCCTGAAATCTATTCCCTAGTTAGTTTAAGGCATCAGTATCCACCCAGAAGCTTAAGCCAAAGACCCAGAGTTCTTATAGAATCTTTTCTCTCCCTCCTTTCTCTCTTACCCCTCCATTTAACCAGTTTTTTTTTTAAATCATAACATTTAATACAAGATCTACCTTCTTAACAAAATTTTAAGTGTACAATACATTATCATTGACTATACGTACAAGGTTGTACAACAGCTCTCCAGAGCTTATTTATTTTGCTTGACTGAAACACAACACTCATTGTTAGTGATTTCCCACTTCCTCTTCCTCCCAGCCCTGGCTACCACCATTCTATGATTCTATTAATTTAAATCATAGGTACTTCATTTTAGATATTTCATATAAGTGGAGTCATAAATATTTGCCTGTTGGTGACTGGCTTATTTCACTTAATGTAATGTCCTCAAGGTTCATCTATATTGTTGCACATTGCCAAATTTCCTTTTTAAGGCTGAGTAGTATTCCACTGTATGTATGTACCACATTTTCTTTTTATCCATTCATCTGTTGATGGACATTTAAGTTGTTTTCACATCTTGGCTATTGTGAATAGTGCTGCAATGAACATGTGTATAGGAATATCATTTTGAGACCCTGATTTCAATTCTTTTGGATAAATATCCAGAAGTGGGATTGCTGGATAATATGGTAGTTGTATTTTTAATTTTCTTAGGAAATTTCATACTGTTTTCCATAGTGGCTGCACCATTTTGCATTCCTACCAACAGTGTATGAGGGTTCCAATTTCCTCCACATCCTCACCAGCACTTATCATATATATACATATAAAAGCAGGTATGAGGTGGTATCACATTGTGGTTTTGATTTGCATTTCTCTGATGATTAGTGATGTTGAACATTTTCATATGCCTATTGGCTATTTGTATGTCTTCTTTGGAGAAATGTCTATTCAAGTCCTTAGCCTATTTTAAAAATTAGGTTAGTTTTTTATTACTATTGAATGTAGGAGTTTCTTATTTTGAAGTTCTAAATCTCACAGTGAATATTTCTCATAGCAACACCCTCTTCTCCATTCCCACTTCTCTTCCCTTTGTCTAGTGCACATTATTCATCTCTGCACTGAGGTACTGAATGGTGTTTTTTTTTTTTTTCTTTTCTTTTAGAGATGGGGTTTTTATCGTGTTGGCCAGGTTGGTTTTCAACTCCTAGCCTCAAGTGACCCACCTACCCTAGCCTTCCAAAGTGCTTCGATTATAGGCATGAGCCACCACACCAGCTTCTGAATGATCTTTATTTGAGGTCCTCTGGAAATGAAACCTGAAACATGGATTCTACTATAAATAGATCATTTGAAAGGTGATCTCAGGAAACTCTGGGAGCTGATTTGGGGAGCAAGACAAGGAAGTGAAAGAAGCCAATAAAGTACGTGTTATTAAGCAGTGCAGAGCTCCATGCCACTGAGAAACTCCACTGGAGCTCTACCCTACTGAGAAACTCTGAGATACAGGGTAGAATATGAATTAGAGTTACCCCAACAAACAGGCAAGGAAGCTGGGGTGTTTACCCATCAACTCTCCCATTCATTATTGTTTGGGGGTTGATCTCAGGGCATCAACTCCCAGCACGTCTGGCCTGCACTCCTGCACTGTGTATGGGCTGTGCATGCTACCAAGCCAGAGCACAAAGAGTCACAGGCCTTGGGGGTGTGAGGTGCATACTAGGGGGATATGGGTGGGATACTGGCAGCATTGCCTTCCTTCTCCCTCTCCCAACAGAGGCCTGGGATAACTTTCCAAAATGCAAATCTGATTATGACACTCCTCTAGTCAATAAAAGCATATGTGGATGATACTAAAGACCTACCTTGCTTATTTTGCTTGATGGAGGTGACTGGAGTGGTGCCAAACCATCTGACCCTGGGCACCTTTGGTATACCTTGTGCAGGTGGTCAAAGCTTGAGTTTTCAGTAACTTTCTGTGAATTAAATGGATAGATAGCTTTATTCATATATTTATAATTAAAACCTGTTTGTTTACAGAACAGGTTGGGAAGGGAAGAGATCAATGGTCACCTGTGGTTTGGGGCCCACTGGTGCAGCCCCTCTCCTCTCAACAGCTTTACTGACTCCTCCACATTGCAGAGCCTCCCCTGGTGCTTCTGTCACTGCACCAAAGCCACTCATGGCAGCACTTTGTTCTTCTTTATGCAGTCACATTATCTGGGAATCTCAATGTGATTTACAAGCTTACATAACTTCCCAAATGAGTCAGCATGCTCATCAAGAAGGCAGCATGATGTCGTGGAAAGAACAGGGCATTTGGTGCCAGATACAACAAGTTCAATTCCTGCATCTGCCACTTCCCAACTGTGTGTCTAGACAAGTTCTTCTACCTCCTCCAGCCTGTTTCTTCCTCTAACAAATGGAGATGAGAATATCTACCTAGGAGGGTTATTATAAGGATGAAGTGAGGTAAGGAACGCTCAGAGTGTGATCAGCTTTTGCTTCTCCCGTCATATATCCTGATTTACACATCTAGCAGCCAATTCTTGAACTTTACTGACACCTCGTGAGTAGAAAATGCTGATTTATCTTCGTCTGCTTTTATCACCAGTGTATTTTTGATGAAAGTTCAAATCACTTATTTGTAAAGGAAAAATTGGTCTTGCTCTACTCTGGGCAGAGCAGGTACAATGTGTGTAAAATAAATCAGCACCAGAAAGGGCTGTGGTGCTGTAGGTAGGGCTGGGCAGGTACAGCCTGGCTCAGGCCTGGCTGGACTGCAGTGGCAGGCAAAGATCACTGGCTTTCAGAGGCAACTTTGGGAGCATGCAGTAAGACAGACAGCCTGAAAAACAAAATGTGCAGGAGCGGATGTGGAATCCAAACGGAATAGCTGCTTACCACAGTGGGGAGTGGTTAGGAATGGCATTGCAGAATGCCTTTAGCCAGACAAAGCAGCAGCATATGAATGAGGATGCTGCTGTGCTGGTCAGTGCTGGGGATGGTTCTGGAACTGTTTTTCCTAAGTAGTTAAAGCAAATGCAAGCTTAAAAAAAAAATCAAATCCCTGGTCAGCAAATAAGCACTGCTATAAATGTTCTTTCCTGCTGGTGACAACATTATTAGGGGAGGATTAGCAGACAAGCTCATTTCCAGGATCTTTATAGCCAGCATAATACATAGTTAGCAGTCAGCTTGGGGCAGCAGAGAGAATATTTATAATTTAGAGGTGATCAGTTGGCATGTCCATGGAGCAAAGAGGTTGCTAAAAAAGAAAAGCAAGAGCTGATCTTTGAACTCAGAAACTCCAGAATGCTAGAGCTGGAAAGGATTTTTCAGATCATCTAGCTGTTCTGGTGCTTGTTATATACTAACAACAGCAGAACTTTTAAATAAAATTTTATGCAGAATCTCCCCTTTAAAAAAAAAATAAAAGGAGAGCTGCTCTGAGTAAGGGAGGGAGGGAGACAAGGGGGCAGTGTGGTTCTGGGACAGCAGCCTCTGAGCCTTCACTTTAGGTGTCTGGTGGTAGCCCGGAAATATGTTCTGAAAAGCCTGAGTCCCCACTGACCGCAGCTTAAAAGCCCCTCATCCAGTCTTAGGCTGACAGATGGGAAGTGACTGCTCAAAGGTAACTCAGCAGAACTGGGACAAGAACACAAACCTCTTGATTTTAACTTCCTTGCTCTCAGCTAAAAATCATCTCTCCTTCAAAAAAAAAGAAAAAATGTATCTGTAAAGATAAAGTTACCTCATGAAATAGCTTATTAAAGTAAATGAGAAAGCCAGAGGCATCTGAGTGTAAACACTGGGTTTGAAAGGGATCCAATTCTATCTTCTTCTCTGCTGGACCCAAAGGCAGCGTCTTATTACATTTATTTTTAAGGCTTATAGCATAGCAGTCACAAAATCCAAGGAGATTTACTAAACTAATGGTCATTTAAGCCAGGATGAGTCTAACCGGTTTGTACATTTTAGAAAACAAAAACTTAAAACAACAGCTATATTGGCACAATAAGGAAGGAATGTGAAATGCACAGCAGATGGAGAGGCCAAACCAGAGCTCTCAGGCGGTGGAGCACGAGGCATTCCACGCTCTTGATTCCATTTACCATTTGTGGGAACTCAGACAAGTCACAATTTCTCTGGACCTCAATGTTTTCAATCTATAAAATGATTAAATCATTAAGGCTTTTAAAGGTCAGTATGCAACAGAACTCTGACACAGAACTTCCCCGTGAGCAGGGTCAGTTGGTGCTGTGCCTATTTAACATGCAGCAGAAGTCTCTGTGTCCAGGGCTGAGGGCCTGGTAGTGTAATTAATACAGAAGAGAAAGAAGGAGGAGGAGGCAAGCAGGTGGGGAGGAAAGCAGAGCCTCTCCTTTCATGCTTCAGAGGACAGGACTTTGGTCAGCAGCATCCTGCACATTTTCCTAAGGCCTGTTACCTTGAAGTCCTCTAAACGGCGAGATAAATGGCATGTGTGTATGCCGAAAAATCTATAAGGACATACAGCAAAATGCCAACAGTGTTTTTTCTGGGTTAAATCGTTATGAATGTCCTGAATTAATTATCTGCTTGCTGCTTTCTCTTTTCTTTCTTTCTTTATTTTTTCTTTCTTTCTTTCTTTTTTTCTCCTTCCTTCCCCTACCTCCCTGCCTCCTTCCCTGCTTTCCTCCCTCCCTCCCTCCCTCCCTCTTTCCTTCCTTCCTTCCTGCCTTCCTGCCTTTCTTCCTTCCTTCCTTCTTTCCTTCCTTCCTTCCTGCCTTTCTCTTATGTTTCCTACATTTTGTACCTTACATATGTATTGCTTGTGTTTCTCCCACCAGAAGCTAAACTTCATGAGTACAGGAATTTTTGTTTATTTTGTTCATTGCTATATTCTCAGTGCCCAGAACAGTGCCGGGCATTTGGTAGGCACTCAGTAAACAATTGTTTGAGTGAATGAATAATGTGCGATTTAAAAGTGAGAATTTTTTTTAATTGCAGGCAACACAAATCATGTCTTAAAGCAGTAGTTTTCAATCTTTTTGGACTACAGCACACAGTAAAAAATGCTTTTAAAATTGTGACATCACAGTACCTAAATTCACACACACACACATATGACACATATAACAAATATTTCACAAAGTAATACTTGTTATTATAACTTGTGGCATAGTTTGATATTTTTAAATCACTTCTATTTCCATTTTTGAAATACTAAATTTATTTCAAGACTCACTAATAAGTTATGATCTGCAGTTTGAAAATCACTTTCATTGAAAGAGCAGCCACCTGGAAGGTCAGGCATGGTGGCCTTGTAAGGGATACATGGGCAAGAATCTTCCATCTGTGTGCACCTAATCCTTGAAAGATCAAGAGCCTTGCTGGGCGCGGTGGCTCAAGCCTGTAATCCCAGCACTTTGGGAGGCCGAGGCGGGTGGATCACGAGGTCAAGAGATCGAGACCATTTCAACATGGTGAAACCCGTCTCTACTAAAAATACAAAAAATTAGCTGGGCATGGTGGTGCGTGCCTGTAATCCCAGCTACTCAGGAGGCTGAGGCAGGAGAATTGCCTGAACCCAGGAGGTGGAGGTTGCGGTGAGCCGAGATCGCGCCATTGCACTCCAGCCTGGGTAACAAGAGCGAGACTCCGTCGACAAAAAAAAAAAAAAAAAAGAAAAAAAGAAAGATCAAGAGCCTGAACTTAGCAAGGGCAGGTGAAGTTGTCCATGGCTCCCTGTGTTTTCTAGCTACACTTCAAAGAGACATTGTGTCTCAGAAGCTTGAGTAGAGTCATTTAGACAACTCCATTACTGTACAAGAAGAAACTGAAGATTAGGAAAGGAAGACAGCTTTCTACCACATCCTATATGTGTGAGCTTAATGTTCCTTAAAACCAATATTCTAGTCAAATCCATCCCTGAACATGAAGTAGAGGCAAAGAAAACTGGGGCAGGAATCAGAGATTTCAGTTCTGACACCAACTAACTGTATGATTTGGCCATTTGAACCTCAGTTTCCTTATCTGTAACATGAGGAATTGGCCGTAATGCTATTTAAGACCAGTGCCCACCCTAAAAATTGATATTCTGAAAGCAAGACAAACAAATAAGAGTAACAGTCTTTGCCAAGCACCTGTTATGTACCAGACAATAAGCCAGGTGTTTTACATATAGCATCTCACTAAACCTCCCTGACAGCTCCGGGAGAATAAGGTAATCAGCCCTCACAGAGGAGGAAACTGTGAGGCTCAGAGAGTTTAAATAACTCACCCCAAATCATCAAGTAACAGTGTTGGTTTCTATCTGGGGTCCTCTGATGTCAACCCCCATGTTCTCAACTACAACACATACTGTTCTCTAATGGAGTTGCTTTGGGGTTTCCATTTCAAATCCCTGACCCATTTGGTCTCCTTTTAAGCTAGGAATGTTCAATTAATGATAGTAGTAAATGGTAGCAAATGACAAAATGATACCAAGGAGATGTATATATAAGGAGAAGGGAAGCAATACTATTTTAATGCAATATTCGAAGCATTTCGCTTATGGTATTCAATTTAATCCTCACAACCTTCAAATTTGTTTTGTTTTGTTTTTTCATTTTACAGTTTTAAACACAGAAAGGTTTAGTAACCTTTTTTTTTTTCTTTTTTGAGACAGAGTCTCTGTTGCCCAAGCTGGAGTGCAGTGGCACAACCTCAGCTCACTGCAACCTCTGCCTCCCGGGCTCAAGCGATTCTCCAGCCTCAGCCTCCCAAGTAGCTGGGATTATAGGCGCCCACCACTACATCCAGCTAATTTTTGTATTTTTAGTAGAGACGGGGTTTCACCATGTTGGCCAAACTGGTCTTGAACTCCTGACCTCAGGTGATCCGCCCACCTCAGCCTCCCAAAGTGCTGGGCTTACTGGCATGAGCCACCGTGCCCAGCAGGTTTAGTAACCTTTTAAAGATACCAGGTATTTAGTGCAGCTCTGAGACTGTAAGCTCTCTGAGGAGACAGACTGTCTTTCTCATTTGTGCTTTGATTTTCAGTGTCTAAAAGAGTGCCTCGTACAGGGTAGGTGATCGATACACATTTACTAAAGGCATCAATGAAGGAAGTAACCAGGTTGTAAGCCCAGATCTGCCCAACTCCCAAATCCAATTCTTTCCACTGCTGAATTCATATAATTTATTTAAAACAATTGGTATCTAGCCAGTTGTTTTTAACCTCTTATTTACTATATAAAGAGTGTTATGAGTTTTGGCTCCAATGCCCCTATGAAGCTCTAGCTGCATAATTAGTTACTGAGTTCCCATCTCTTGGCTGAATCTATAATTAAGCTAATTTTGTAAGACATAGTTAGATATATTCCCTGGTTCCCTAAAATGCGTAACATTCACCCAGAGGACCAGACTTGGAGAAAAACACAGGACTGGAAACATTTGATCACACCCTAGTATCATTGCTCTCCCTGATCACCAAGAGCAATTACAGAACAGAAGGTTTGTTTGGTTTGGTTTTTAAATCAATAAAAATAAAATTTAAAAGGCCTACTCTTATGCAGAATATCTTCATAGTGCATCTTCTAGGATGTTTTATTTCTAAACAAAACAAAGTTTGGCTTTATCTCACACAATGATATTAATGTATTACAGTTTCTGCACAGGAATTGGAAGAAGGCAAGAAATGAGGCATACCAAGCACGTCATAGCAGAAGGGTGTGTGCAGGTGTGCCTGAGACATCGCCCTGCTTAAACTCAGCCAGGCAGGTCCAGTGATGGGTGAGTGGATGGCTCTGATAAAGAGCAGGCGTCTCTCCTTATCTTTCTAATTCAAGGGTAGTTCCTCTCCGATGTGCTGACCAAGGCTGCACCTAGCCCTGGCTTTGGTCATTCAGGGCACTTCCCTTGGCCTTTGGAGTTGTGTGTTCATCTATTTCTTATTTTCTCTCCCTTTTCTGAGTATTTACTAAGGGCTCTCATGGGCCCAGCCTCTGCAAGATGCTGTGGTGGCTACAGAAGGAACAGAGCACAGGCTTCTGGCCTCTTGGGTGTCACTGGTCATATACTTGGAACTCAAGTGTGACCATGAAGTTGCCTGGCAGCTGAGCTGGTGACTTCACTATTATCACCTTCCTTCCTTGCCACCTCCAGAGAGCTTGGTAAGCCTTTCTTGTTACTGTGGCTTGAAGAATGTGATTCTCCCTTATTTCCCCCTGTACTTTCTGTCACCATGACATCAAATCTGGTTTTCTTGCCTTGAGTGAACCAGCACCCATATTACCAAGGCCAGCATGATCAGAGGTGTAAACTCTTTACAGGTGGGTCAGCTGGAGAAGACGCAAGTTCAGTTCAGCTTTGTGGATAATTCTCTTTGCTTTCTACACTGAATTTGGCTGCCTCTGTCTCTAACCTGCACTAAACCTACTCTGCTCTCATCCAAAGTATTTTTTAAATGGGGGCAGGGCTGACTCTCCCAGAAGTCAAATGTTCTCTTTATATTCACTTTGTTTCCTGCTCTGAGTTTCCTTCTATGGTGTCTGTTAATGTCTATTTTGGTCTGAATCTTTTTTTTTTTTTTTTTCAATATGGATAGAGTCTTGCTATGTTCTTGAATTCCTGGGCTCAAGTGATCCTCCTACCCCTACCTCCCAAAGTGCTGGGATGACAGGCATGGTCCACTGCACCCAGCCCCAAATCTTTTTTAATAACAGTTTTATTGAGATATAATTCACATACATAAAATTTACCTTTTAAAAGTGTATAATTCAGTGGGTTTTAGTATAGTCATGGAAATGTCCAACCATCACCACTATCTAATTTCAGACCACTTTCATCATCCCAAAAATTACTCATTAGGAGTCAGTCCCATTTCTCCCTTCCTCAGCCCCAATAAATCATTGATCTGTTTTTTTTTATTTTTATGAATTTGCCTATTCTGGACATTTTGTGTAATTAGAATAATACAATATGGGTCTTTAGTGACTGGCTTCTTTCAATCAGCATGAAGTTTTCAAAGTTTGTCATGTTGTAATGTATCAATACTTGAGTCATTTTTATGACTGAATAATATTCCATTATATGGATAAACCACATTTTGTTTAGCCATTCATCAGTCAATGGACGCTTGGGTTGTTTCCACATTTTGGCTATGATTAATAATGCTAGAAATATTTGTGTACAGGTTTTTGTGTGGACATGTGTTTTCAGTTATCTTGGATACATACCTAGGAGTCAATTTGCTATGCTAACCCAAATATTAAGGAAATATTTCCAATAATCTTCATTCCTATCTCTGTTTCCCAGATAGATTTCTCTGTATTCATTAAACAAAGGGGAATGACCAACAGTAGGAACTTTTTCACCAAGTTCATGACACAGCACCTGCTTTTCCAAGTTAGATACAAAGCTCAAACATAGGGGGAGTTTTTGGGCTTTGTATCTAACTTGGAAAAGCTAGATACTTTGTATCAAATATGCAGCTATGAGTGGCTATGTCAGGCCCAAGACAGGGACAAGTCACTTCAGTGACTGCACATTAAATAGCAGTTTGTGGCACCCAGAGGGAGGTTTGTGCAAAGCTAGCCTCCTGCCCAGATTTTAATCTTACAAAGAAATAATTACAAGGAGCTTGTTCCTTGAAATCGAGTCTTTTGTAACCTATCAAGAATATTGGGCTATGATCTCTGGGGGTATGCATAGGCCCAAAGGGAGTATTTGCAGCATCGAATAAGCAGTTTACAACCTTGAACCATCAATTACCGTTTCCTCACAGCTCTGCAGTCTTCCGTTTATAAAGGAACTCTGCCCTCTGCTGGTCATGGGCAGCCCAGACCCACAATTCAGGGCTTCTGAGCAGGTCTCTTCCAAAATCCTTTGTTCTCCGGGAGCATTTTAGAAACTGCTACAATTTATTCAGCTATAGAACACAAAGTAATGCCATCTTCTACAGAGCGTTTCCCTTTTATTTTTTGTCCTTTGATGTTTGTGGGTTTTTTCCTTTTATTCAACAGAAGCAGAACTGGGCCAGTTTTGTTATTTATGAGCCGCTTTCATTTGTGATAAATAACCGTAATATGTATTTATGCAGTGCCTGCCAGGCCCCTTCTGCTCCTATTGACTCGTGAGTTACTAAAATACTTTTCTATGGTAGAAGTGGGCAAGGGCTATTCAAGATAGAGATAATACAACTTATGGGCTGTCAGCTGTCTAGTAATTTTTCAGAGGTGCTTTGCAGATTGATTGAGTCAAGAAAGACCTAGAGCCTGACTCTCCTCAGGCTCTATGGGAAAGCTCTTAGCCCTGTTAGAAATCCGCAAGGCATCAGACATTTGGGTCCCCAAGCCCTCTTCCCCTTCCTTCCACAACAACACTCTGACCAGAAAAGATCCAGGAGCAGCAGGAAAGGTGAATAGGGGAGGAAGCCAGAGCCAGGGTTGTAGGGGTGGGGAGGAACATCACAGATGGTGTGGGCAAAAGCTGCACTCTTGAAAGAGGAAAGCGGGGAAGCTGGGAGGGAAGGTGGACAAGAGAAAGAAACTATGGGCAGGGGCCCAGCAGGTAATGAGGAAACCAAAACAGAAGTGACCCCATTTCCCTGAGGGTCACTTCTGCAAGGCAGTTAACGGTAACATCTGTTTAATTCTTCATTAACAAAGGAAAGAGGATCCTTTCTGATGTTCTCGCCCTGTGCCTCTGACCTTTAAGGTCTCACTCTGTTGCCCAGGCTGGAGTGCAGTGGCACGATCTCAGCTCACTGCAACCTCCGCCTCCCAGTCTCAAGCAATCCTCCCACCTCAACCTCCTGAGTAGCTGGGACCACAGACGCGAGTCACCACCACGCGTGGCTAATTTTTGTATTTTTTGTAGCGAGGGGGCTTTTGCATGTTGCTCAGGACTGGTCTCAAACTCCTGGACTTAAGTGATCTGCCCGCCTTGGCCTCCCACAATACTGAGATTACAGGCATTGAGCCACCATTTCCGGCCTGAAAGAACCTGATTTTTAGTGATGTAATTTGGGTTTGTAATCTCTGAGGAGATGAGAGTTGCTTACTGTCAGCCCATATACTAGCCAGAGGTCTGGAAACCTGGCTCCCTCCCTCAAGGTGATGCCTATGTCCTGCCAGAATGGGGTCGGGGGTGGGGCATGCCACCGTTTACCCCAGGGACGCTCTTGGGGGTCCCACCACCCCTGTCAATCAGCTGGCTGAAGATTCCGGTGTCCTGTTCTTCCTGTTCTCCCCCAACCCATGCTGCTCTAGCCTTCTCCCTCCCTCCCACCCTGGTCCTCTGGACTCTTATTCTCTCCTCCCACATCTTCTCTCTAGCCTTTGTGACTGAAGTCTCAGTCACTTTAGGAAAGACAGGCTCACTGCCCTCTTTATAATCAACCTTCATCGGATGTGAGGGGGATGGAGAAGTGAGAGATAGGCGGGAGGGGAGAGGGACACAGGGAGAAACGAGGGAGGAGAGAGGGAGAGAGAAACAGGAACCAGGTCTTCTGCGCTTCCTCCCAGATTAGGATAAAGGCTATTCTTAGCAGTAACACAGGCTTGGCATTTGGGGAGATGTGTATTTCTCTCCCTCTAGCCCCAGGGGCTTTGCACATTGTAATTTCTCCTCTCCAAGCAGAGACGAAAAAGAAAATGAAGGCGGGGGGGGGAAGAGAGAAAGGAAAGGAAAGAGGGAGGCGCGCCATCGCTGGCGCCCTGAGAGGCTCTTCTCGGGGTTTATTTTGGAAGGCTGCTCCGGTGGGTCAAAATTGGGCGGGGAAGGGCTCTCACTGCACCCCAGACGGCCCGTTTAATTCTAGCCTCCCTTTTGAGGCAAGACGACGAAAAGCCAAATGAGATCCCTTTGGGCCTTTCTGCAGCGCTTTGTATGTGGCACGTGTTTCATAAATGTTCCACCAAGCCCCTGCGTGCACTCTCATTAGGCTGGTCTTTCAGAACGGCCCTCACTGGGCCTTAGGACCTTGGGAGTCAAAGCATTCAAGCGCTGGCATCATACATTGGGCTTCAGAGAAGCAAGGAACTTGAAAAATACAAAAGTATTTAAAAAATAAGTAAAAATTTAAAAATAGGGTGGGCAAAGCTGGAGAAATTACGTAATTCGATTGCACCTTGGCTCAGACGGTGAAGTTCTGCATAGCGGCCAACAGGGGGCGCTCAGGCAGTGTGTCAGAACTTCCGCGCTCAGGTTGCCTGGAGCCCAACCGAGGGACAAACAAAACAATGCAGCTTTGCGGTTTCTCTTCAGTTCTTAGTTCGGGGAGGCTTAATCCAGGACTGCCTGAACTCCATCCTGGGGGACGCCAGTAGTGTCTCGCAGAACACCGTCTTCATAGGCTTTCCTGAATCTCTCGATTAAATGCTTTCTAGAACTCTGTGTTCCTCTGCACCTAGAAAATGGCTTTTCTCAAGCTCTCCCAGTATCTCTGTGTATCTTTTTGTCAGCCTGGTTTTCTCGGTATCTGTGTTTCTGGCATGGTTCTTTCTTGTCTTTCTGTACTATCCCAGGCCCACTAGTACATGTTAATGAAAAATACATGGAGCTGAACCCACCCACAGGCTGAGCTCTGAAAGATTTCAAGTTCTGGCAGAAGCTAACACTTTGAAAAACATTTGAAATATGTTTTACTGCAAAAGTGGCTAACTGCCACATTAGGCTATGCAGTCCTGTCTTTCCTTCTCGCTGTTTCTGTTCTTGGAGCGGGCTGCCATGCCACCCTACCGCTGTCTCCTCCCCTTTGGCTGCCACAGCCATTGCCCACCTCCCCCAAACCACTGACCTCCAATGGTCAGCTCCTCCCTGACCAGCAGGACAAGGTCTTCCAGGTCTTTTAGAGGAGATGCCAACTTAAAAATAATTGTCCTCTGTTTGTATGTTTTTGTTTTGTTTTGATTTTTGCTTTGTAATTAAGACCATCCCCCTCGTTTCCAGAACATACTGGAACTCTTAGGATTTGGGGTTCAGGTGAGAGCTAGAGAGACTCAGCCTCACACTCTTCCTGGAACCTCTTGTCGTCCAAGATTCAGGTGTTCTGGTTGAGTATTTGATACACTCTGCCAGAGCATCTTTACTCACAGTGACTTTCTCATGGGGACCTCATCGTCTTCCTCTCCAAATTGACTTTTACTTACAATGCGGTCAAGAAAGAGACTGCGTGTGTGTGTGTATCAATCCTTGGATGACAGAGTTTAAATTTTCTTTCTGGGGAATTGGGAAATGTCACCGATCATGGTGTTAAGGTACCAGAGCGTGCCACGACAGTCAAAAGGCACCTCAGCAAATGATAGAAGGCTCCTTTGCCTGGAGCTCACAGAGGGCTCTGGGGCTATTTATCAAGAGCCTACCTCAGTTCCAGCCCTGAGTACTGCTACTACAGTGGTGGAGGTGGTGGTGATACAGCCTCCTAATTTCTGCATTTCGTCGTCCCTGCCTCCAAATCTGTCCTGCTCTACTGGTGTTCCTATTATGTTTCAGATCCTAGTCATGTGTGTCCCTGAGAGGAGGAGACTAACATTAGATCTGGTAGGACATGATACTCTTCAATCTTGTCACCTTAACTTTCTCCTGGAGCCATGGAAGGTAGCAGTGGTATGATCTGATCCTGCCTGTCTCTGTCCTGCCCAAAAGTGTATGGCTGTTATTTCCTAGTTCCAGAACCGGACTGGACCAAGTTTAAGACCAAGGTAGGGAGTAGGGGGCAGACAAGCAATGCAATGTAATTCAACATTTAAGAATACTTCCCACTCACTAGTCCTTGTCAGGCCCTGGCCATACAGACAGGCTGTACAAGACATAGATTCTGACTTCAGGGGGTAAATGTTTCTATTGAACTGACTCACTGTGTCTCTGAATGAGAATAAAAATGAAACTGCTGCAGAAAAACCCAGTGCTGCAAAGTGCTAGCATCATCAGGAGGCTGCCTCTGCAGCGCAATCCATAATCTCTGTGACTTCCAGAACCAAAAAAAAAAGGTTAAATTACTTTCTAAAATTAAGCTTTGCATTACTTTGGAAACTAACAAAGCATTCCTTCCCACAGACACTGTTCCCAAATTAAATATTTTGTGCTTATACAGCTGCTCAAATGTTGGTACATTGAAAATGGAAAAATTTCTTAGGTTGGGAAGAGATGGGGTGCTTAGGAAGGAGAGGGGAGCTCTGTGCAGGGAGGACAGCTGTGGTCAGTAGCAGAGATTATAGTAGTTGGAAAAGATTGTGATCAAGCAAATATGTGTGTAAAATGTTTCTAAAATTATTAAGTCTAAATAAGTGTAGGTTAAGGGGGCCTGTTATGGTCAGGTATTTAAAAGCATCCTTTCAAGTAGAAACCTTGGTCAGTGGCTGTTCCCCACCTGTAATCAGTAGGAAATAGGGGGATTAATAGTAAACAATCAAGGGGACATCTTAAGGTCAGTGTGAAGCATATTGTTCGACATTTCACAATGATTAAACACTGGAATGGGTCACAGAGAATGGGCGGGCACTTTTCTCTGGAGGCATTTATTGAAGGAACAGAACTTTCTTATAGTCACATGCTGCAAGTAACATCCAGCATGAAGACACAGGCGTGACCTGGATGAGCTAACTTCCCAGCTTCTCTTCTATTAAATAGATTGGAAAGCCAAAGAACTCATACAGCATTAGAGGCCCCTGCAGCAGCTGGAGAGAAATGGACAGATGAAAGTCCTCACTTGTCCACCTCCCACCAACATGCCCGGCCTGCCATTGAGCTGCCTGTTGTATTTTGTAAGCTTGCGCCTAGATATTTGCCTTGCAAATATGTGGGCCGTCTTGGCAAATGGTTTTGTAGAAAGCCCTTGCTCACAAGAATTCCATCTGCAATATTTGGATTGGCTCTCCCTTTTCCGCACAAACTGTTCCCAACTTATCTCTGGATGTCTTCCAGAAGGTCATCAGTGTTCTGCTATACAGCGTCATCTGCTTGTCACACTATTCCCCAGCTCCTGAAACACAGCACCGTTTCCTATGGTAGCAGCAGCAGCAGCAGCAAAAATATCTTCCTCCTCAGCATGATTTTCCAGGCCCAAGATGAGCTCACAGGCACCAAGAGACACGAGGCCATGGCCTCACAGATCTCACACCCAGGAACCTGATCTCAGTTTAAAAGGCACACCTGCTGTCTTAGCTGGGGGAATAGAGAAAAGTTAGTGGGAGGGGCTACTGTGGGTTTAAGTTGACAGCAGAGAGTAGCCAGGAGCACCTGAGGAAGGCTGCCAAGGACATATTGGGTGGTACTGGGGGAGGAGCACCTTCTGGCAGGGGGAGGTAGGGGCAGGCCTGGAGAATGCACTCATAAGGGCAAGCCCAAGGCCTGGGTGGGGTCTCTGATGACTTGTACAAACTTGGCACCAAGCCTCAGTGCAATCTTGCTTCATCTCCCTGGACTTCTACCGTCATTAATGACTGTGACTTCAGTCAGAGACTACAGAAAGGGAACACTCAATGATAATCTAGAGACAAGGACAATTGACCAAATCATCAGATATGACTCTAGTTTATGTCCTTTGCCGCATTATTACCCTGTCCTCTCTTCATTATCCTATATCCCAAGTCCTTACTTTCCCAGATGTTGTGGAAAAGGTAAAGGATTCCAAGTTATTGTAAGGAGGGTCACTCCGCATAAAATGAGACCATTCTACACCCTGGGGACTGACTCAATTGAGCTCTACCGGTCAGCATTCTGATTGTATCTCACCACCAGAAGAATATTAATTTCAGGCAAAGGTCTCTGTCTCCTGCATAGAGCTACTAATGACTCCACTATGAGTGATAAAGTATGAGAGTCAGCAAGGCCTGTAGAGATTATGTATTGATCCAACACCTTCATGATAGATGAGGGAACTGAAGATTAAGGAGATGACATAAGGTCCAAGGCCACCCAGGAAGTTGTTGAAAAAATTTGGACTAGAACCTAGTCTTTGACCCAGTAACACACTAGCTCTTCCTCCTGTCTTACCTGGCCCTGGCCCTTTCGGATACCAAAGGTTTCCACCCAGGGGAAAATCAAGCAGCAAGGGAGGAAAGTGTGAATTTCCAAAACTTCTTTGTGAAAGCAACTGCTCTTCAGGAGACCTCTTTGTGTTATAGCCAGCCCTGGGGACTCTGTCTCTGCCATGCTGCATCTGGTTAAATTGCTCTTCTATGAGCCTATCTGGCTGCCAAATCTCTCTCTGGCCAAAAACAGCGTCTGATCTCATCCTAATGGATTTCCACCAATCACAGTTCTAGGGCTTCCAAGATGGAAATGGAACATCTTACACAGAAACATTATAAATATTCCACAAGCAAATAACAGGGTTCTAACTTCTTCACTCTCCCTTTAGCTAACCACTTTCAAAGGCATCCGGCAAAGTTGCATTCAACCTGTGAATCAAATAAGTCAAATAAACAGATATTTATTGAGCCACTATTGGAAAGTCAACGTATCAGGTATACAAAGACAGGCCTGAGTCCTTGCTTCCAAGAATTCACAGGCCAATTGGGGGGAACAAGGCAAAATTACATTCAAAGTTAATATACAAGATGGCAATACAAAAAGTTCCATGATGCAACAAATGATTATTTGCAAAATTTGTGGAATAGATAATAAGAACAATAAAGAGAAAAGAACGCTGTAAATTTAACAGTTCAGGAAAGTTAGTGCAAGAAAAATTTGATCAGGTGCCGGGCGTGGTGGCTCATGCCTGTAATCCCAGCACTTTGGGAGGCCAAGGTGGGCAGATCACGAGGTCAGGAGTTTGAGACCAGTCTGGCCAACATGGTGAAACCCTGTCTCTACTAAAAATACAAAAAATTAGCCAGGTGTGGTGGTGTGCACCTGTACTACCAGGTACTCAGGAGGCTGAGGCAGGAGAATCACCTGAACCCGGGAGGCGGAGGTTGCAGTGAGCTGAGATCACACCATTGTACGCCAGCCCAGGCAACAGTGAAAGACTCTGTCTCAATAAAACAAGCAACAACCACAAAAAATTGATCAGGACTTTAAAGGATGGGAAGAATTTAGAGGGATGGAGAGAAGGGGAAAGCATTTCAAAAATTGGTAACAGTGAAAAAATATTCAAAGATAGAAAAGTGCAAGTGTGTTGAGAGTAGTGAGTAGTAGTAATCATAATAGTAGATAGCTGTTACATTATGATCAGGCCCTGTTCTCAACCCACAACATTTATCAATTCTCTTGGTTCACACACAACTCAAATTACTACTATTATTATTTCCATCTTTACGATTGAGGAAACTGAGGCATAGACAGGTTTAAGCAACTCACCTGAGGACACAGCTCACAAATGGCTGTGCTGGACTTGGAGACAGATGCTACGTGTTCAGCACTGAATTATACAGACTCTCACTCTGGCTAGAGGAGTTGATTTGTTGGAAATGCATGTCAGGGGCAAATCGCAGAGGATCTTGAATGCTATGCTGACAAACTTGAACTTGATTTTTTGGGGGCAATAGGAAACCATTAAGGGCTTCTGGGCAGGGAAGTAGATCTTGATTAAAATGAGATACACACAGGAAAAAAATCCAAAGGATACCTTTACATAGAAGAAAAGCAAGATAAATATATTGACACATATATGTAGATTCCCTTCCTTTTCACAGAATGCTTTGTTCAGAGGAACTTCTAGTGGTGTCTCAGGTCTTAAACTACCAGGGGATCAAATCCTTGCTCTGTGGCACTGAGGGCAAAACCCAAAAGGTAAGTGGCCCTCAAATCTACCCAGGCATGTGCTCGAGGGGTAGGGGCAGAGCCAGGCTTGGAGAAAGCTGTCCAGAGGGAGATAGGAGATCCCAGGAAAGAATAGGAAAGAGTGGAGGGACAGATGTCAGAGAGGCCAGCAAAATGACTCAGGACTTCAAGAGTATAATTCTGCAATATATTAAGCATGATTAAATCGAAGCTTATGAGGATGGGAGGGAGGACAAGTCAGCTATCTCCTTGATTGTTCTGTGATTGCAGATAATTTCTTCTTTAGTTCCTTCCCTCTTTTTATATGCTAAAATGGAAAATTTTCTTCATGTACAGAGTTCTTCTCTGTCTCTTTTTTTTTTTTGTGCTCAATTTTGCTAATACATTTCATTAAGGACTGTAAAGCTAAACTTGTTCGTCTCATGACCGTCTACTATAATGAATGTGGGACAGATGAAGTAATAGGACCTCATAATTGAGATAAGAGCTTTTTTGTTGTTTTTCAGGAAATGTATCCACAAAGAAGCCTGCTCAATGGAATAAAAACATTAAGTAGTTTGAATTCTGAGCAGAGATTAGATAGTGTCTTGGATATGGCTTTGGGATCAGAAGCATAGGAGATGAGGCTTCATCCTGTTCAGATGGTCTTCAGGGAATATCAGGTTTATGGAAGTGTTTTTCGGCTTCTGTGTTACAAAGCATGGATTGTGGTGCCTGGACTCAGCCTGAGCTCTCAGCATAATTATCTACTTACCCTTGTAAATTGCGGTATTCGGTGTGAGCATTGCCTTAATTGATGGCCACACCTTCATGACCCTACTTGTGGAAAATGAACTCCAAATCTGAGTTCCAAGCAGCTGTTTGTGTCCATCCGGAAGAAATCAAGAGTTGGTGTAGGGGTGGAGTGAGGCATGGCTGCTAACACCGTTTAACTCTTGTTCTCTCGAACACTTGTTTTTGTTTGAATAATGAGTTGATTTGTTTGGGTTAAAATGAGGACAAAGAATACTCTGATATAAGAAAATCAGATGGTGTGGTATAGACATCCCCTTTTCAATCACTTGATTGGCACTGATAAATGGAGACTGTTGTGTCTCCTGCCTCAGCTTTCTTCTCTGCTGCTACTACTTGAGAAGACCTAAGTTCATTCAAGACATTGAGTCATCTCTGAGTGGGGCTATGCATAAGGAATTTGGAAATAAGTCACATCCCCAGACTCAAATTTTAGAAACAAAGCCAATGCTTCCAGACTCCTGCATTGACCCTTAATCCTTCATTTCAGCCAGATCTGGGATCTCAGGCACCAAGGACAAACCTGGGTATCCTTCTGGCCCAGAGCCTCAGTTCTTTCTATGTTGGCCCCATCCATATGCTGGCCAAGGTCCCAGAGGTAAACTGTTACCCTGGTTTCCCCTCCAAATTTCTGACATTGTCATCCCTGGAACTCTGCTTCCCCCTCTAGACCTTGCACTTGGCCCTATTCTCATGCAGCCTTTGCCTTCTTTCAGCTACCAAGGGTTTTCTGTCATGCCAGGCCATGGAATGATTGTGCTGTGGGAAACAGCACGTTTGCATTATTGCACCCTCGTATCAATTCCTGCTCACTTAATTCAGTGTCTCTCAACAGCATTGGTACTACCACCTAGGGGATGTATATGACACTTGAAGGGGTATTTTTGGCTGTCATAATTATTGGAGTAGTACTGGTGGCATTTGCTGAGAGGGAACCAAGGATGCTAGCTATCTAGTCATGTGCAGCACAGGCACAACAATGAAGAAATGTTCTGTGCCCTGTAAAACCTTCAAAGGTTACCCTGAACATTTGTGTGAAAAACCTGTTTGCAATTGTCTGGGTGTGAAACGGAATTCCATTTTACTTAGAAACATAGATTACCTTTGCAAAGTTTTAATGTACATGATATTTTCCATACATGCTCTCACTGCTTTTTTTTTTTTTTTGAGACAGAGTCTTGCTCTGTCACCCAGGCTGGAGTGCGGTGGTGCAATTCTGGCTCACTGCAACCTCCACCTCCCGGGTTCAAGTAATTATCATACCTCAGCCTCCAGAGTAGCTAGGACTACAGGCACAGGCCACATGCCTGGTTAATTTTTGTATTTTTAGTAGAGACGGGGTTTCACCATGTGGCCCCGGCTGGTCTCGAATATCTGACCTCAAGTGATCTACCCACCTCGGCTTCCTCAAGAGCTGGGATTACAGGTGTGAGCCCCCACACCCGGCTAATTTTTGTATTTTTAGTGGAAGTGAAGTTTCACTATGTTGCCCAGGTTGGTCTCAAACTCCTCACCTCAAGTGATCCGCCCACCTCAGCCTCCCAAAGTGTTGAGATTACAGGCGTGAGCCACTGTGCCTGGCCCTCTCTGCATTTTTAAAGCAAAAAATACTATACTTTGGTTTGGAAATCTACCAACAGTAGTCACAATTCCAGAAAAACACTTCACTGACAGCAACATCACTCTTTGTATTTGAATTGCCAGCACACCTATCTCTATCTACATTTGTCTCTGCCACCCTCACTCTGATCTCAAAGCAACTACTTCATTAGGTCTTCCAGTTAGTCATCCCCAACATTAGAATTTGCTAAAACATACAATTTTATTACAAAGTATTTCTCTTTACCAGTTTTCTTATTTTAAAAATGACTTTAAAATATATGAATAGGAGGTTGTATTACTTGTGAATTTCTTCTTCTTAAAGATAGGGTCTCGCTCTGTCAGCCAGGCTGGATCTTGCAGTGGCTGATCATAGCTCACTGCAGCCTCAAACTCTTGGACTCAAGTGATTCGCCTGGCTTGGCCTGCTTGTGAATTTCTTTTCAGAATAGTAAAGAGAACATAATAAAACATTCATTTAAGAATAGGCTTTTGAGCTTGATAGGGTTGACAGTCATTTACCTAAGTAGATAGTGTCTGCTGAAGGCAGAAAAGGACTGATGATGAGATTAGCATGTTCTGAGAAAAGGCTATGCTGCCAACCACGAGGTCTCATGGGTAGTATCCCCTTGAGGAACTGAGCACTTTCCAAATTCCACCATCTACCCTCACCAAGATCTTAGAAGTTTTCAGAATCTGAGGTCACTCAAGTAAATCAAATCCATGAGTCTAACCTTATGACCAACTGATAAACTCACAATGGGAAACATTTCTTCCCAGGGACTGAAAAGCTAATGTTCACCATCCAGGGCAGCCTGTCCTAGGATGAGAATGTCTGGAAAGCCAACAACAGGTGAACAAGACACTTTCACTCATTATGTTCATTGTAGCATTATTCATAATAACAAGGACGAGGAATCAACCTAGGTGCTGTGCAAAAGGCACTGAGAGTGCTGAGGAGAGACTACTGATCCCCA